GCAGAGGAAATCGCCTTTTCACGTGGTGTTGCGTTCCACACAACTGAGGGTCCGTTTGCATATAACTGCCCATAATAACGAAATGACATTCACTTTCCTCATTTGCTCCTGCCCTTCCGTCTCCCGTGATTACCAGATTGCTGGATTCATAGGACCGTGCCAATTCATACCTAGAAGATCTGGCCCTTTTTTTCATTTGAGTTTATTGCAAAGCTGTTTGTGAAAGAGGCAGATATGGGCAGCAAGGAACTGTGCCGGCTGCAGTGTTGTTATTGGAAACTGTTGAAACCCCGTCTCTGTTACCAAATGGAAATCTCTTTCGGAAACAGATTTCACTTGAATTATATTGTTTTATTTGTAGCACGGTGTTTACAGTGCCTGCTCATATTATCCCTCACTGATGTATACTGATGATGCATAAGTTAGATTTCACAACGCTGAGAAAATTAACGCTTCAGAAGAATTTATCTCCCCTGTTATTGATGTTCTGTCGGTAGCAGTGTGCTAATATTCTCTCCAGAGAAACTAATGGCACTGACAAAAATCACTGAACTTCTGTTCTCATCTAAATATCTAGATAAAAGATGGCATTTCTGTATGCGAGAAGCATTTTCGGTGATAGCAAACTGTTATCTGTTTCTCCCTTTGTGAGTTACAGGATATTTGTTAGGTTTTTCTTTTTTTCTGGCCAACTTTCTGAAACACGATTTGGCAGATGTTATTTACTCTGGCTTTGCTCTCTTACATCTTTTTTCCACAGAAGTATCAAAGCATTTACCTTTCATTTAGGCCACCGATTCCCATTACTTTCAACTAGAAATAACATGACTGGATACCTGGGAGGATCCGAGTCTCCGTGCTGATCTTCCCACCGCTTCGGTCGCTGCACGGCGCTGGCAGAGAGCGTCGCTCTCAGCCCTTCCCTAGTACCGAGAATGCGAAAGCCATGAACCTCTGATCTTGAACACGATTTGCAAATCCTCCCAAGCAAATACTTTTGGAGAGATGAAGCACAGTCAAAAGGAGGATGCAGCCTTTACCCAAAAGCGGGTTTGGATTTGAGGTGAGACTTACTTAATTTTATGTTAAATGTGATCATAAAGGCTTAGATTTTCAAGGCGTGTGAAAAGTAAATAACCTAATTCTTGTCAGATGCTTTAAGCTTCTTTGAACATGACACACACAAATTGTGTTTTTTAGGAACATCCAGACTGTGCCCGGG